TATGGCTCATTAACGCAGACACATTCAATTTTTAATTTCCATCGGTGACTATCGTCTCGCGGACCTAAACAAAGTAGTCGACAACTACAGACATGGCTCAGTCCACTTGTCAGTGACTTTATGGATTTTTGCCATGGTTTGGTTTGGCTGCCCTTGGCTTTCTAACAACCTACTCCTACACCACAAAACATGGCTCGTCGCGGCAGTCGGTGGTTAGGCATACGTAACACATGACCCAACCACCTCAATTGATGAAGTTTCACTACTTCATCTATTGATTTGCCATCCCTACCTAGTACTCGCTTCCTAACGACAGCATTGCTTATATGGTTGTTCCACGACACTCGAGCAATGCTTCGGAGACATCGATGATCGAAGACTAGTAACCTACGAAAGTCCCCTTCTCTTAACGGCCATGTTTCGAATCCGTATAGTAGGACGGAGCGAACTGCTGCGCAGTACACTCATCCTTTGGTTAGCAAGCGGACATCTCACCTGCGCCATAAGTGACGCAGGTTGGCAGAAGCCAATCGAGCCTTCTGTATCCGTGCTGAGATTTCTTCAGTCACCAGGACATCAGCACTGATGAGACTTCCGAAATAAATGAAGCGGTCGACACGTTCAACTACTTCACTCCCTATCACTAGTTCCGAAGAAGTCCAATCCTGAAGCAACATTTTGCGTTTTGAGGGGGAAAACCGCATCCCGAACATGCTTGCATTGTTTCTTAGGGTAGTCAGAAGACACTGCATTTCGTCAGCGTCTTCACCAAATAGAACTATGTCATCGTCATATTCTAAGTCAGCAAGCGATTTTTCTGGTAGCAGGTCAACTCCTGAAAATTCAGACGAAGATAATGTTATATCTAGGAGCATGTCTATGACAAAATTAAACAAGAATGGGGAAAGTGGACATCCATGACGGACACCACTTGAAGTAAACAATTCCGATAATAGTTCACCATAAGCTCTAACCCAAACAGTAGTGTTCGAGTAGAGAGCTTGTATAAGGTTAATGTACTTCTTTGGTACACCTTTCAATGACAGACACTGCCACAGAACCTCACGATCCACAGAGTCAAATGCCGCGTTTAGGTCCAGAAAGACAACTATTGTAGGGAGCGTAAATGTGTGTCCGTGTTCCGAAACCTGTCGTAGTGTGAAGATATGGTCTATACAACCACGTCCAGGTCTGAAACCAGACTGGTTTTCTCGAGTCTGGTCTTCACGAGCTCTAGTTAGGCGTCTAAGGATAATCGAGGCTAACAATTTAGACACTATAATAGTTAGACTGATTCCTCCTTGTTTGTCACAAGAGGATTTTTGTCTTTTTTATAGACTGGGACAACCGGTGATTGAGACCAGTCAGATGGGATTACACTCAGTTTCCAGATTCTGAACCTCACTAAGAGATGGGGGAGTAGTATGAACTTACCAATCAGGTTGGCTAGAGATCGTGGGAACCGACGTGTGGCTGACGGCCAATCGAGCTGATCCCCAAAGTGTTCTGCTCATCGATCCAATCTTCTTGATTGAGGATGAATAACACGTCCATCTTTTTCTGTCATGGTCTCGCTAACAGTCGGATTTCTTATACCGGTTTCCTTGATAAGTCTGAACAGTTGTCTGCTACTGCCTATCACCGCCTCTTTTTACATCTCTTTTCCTTTCGCTATCCATCACTGTTCACGATCATTACACAGACTTCTTATCAGCCTGCGCTTAAGCATCCTCCACTCCGCATCGTTTTCAGAGCCAGATGGGATGGGATTCCGGGCGTCGATCAGATTAATAGATGCCACTGAAATCTAGTGACTTTCCATACGTTCTGGTCCAAGTTGCTAGCAGATAACACTGCTGCCTTCACGGCTTTCTGGATATCATTTCAAGTTGCCTCGGTGTTAGCATCACTTACATGGCTGCTGAACTGTTTTCCAAGTTATTCTCGAAGTATGCTCTCGGTATTTTTATCGTTGAGTAGAACTATGAGGGTTTGCTTGCCGTGTCTTTCTTACATCCAGCAATTCGCAAACTAATGCTCGTTCATATTAGAGCATGATCTGGATCCAAACATGTGCTGAGGAACGAGCGGTTGTCTTCTGTCAACCCTCTCCATTCAGCAGTATGCCTTCGCGTTCAGTTGCTGTTTTTAGTCCTATTGTTCTCTAATCGACATGCTTGACCAAAACTTCACTTTAAACTTAACCTGATCACATATGGTGTATGCGTAAATGTTACGTTTTTAATATGCGGTAGTAACTTCCGATGTTTTCACTAAACCGAGCATTTAGGAGATGCTTAGAAGTTTTGGAATGCTGTGAGTCATTAAACGTTAACCTATTAGGCACCTGTACTCTAATTGTTAAAGATCCAGTGATTTGAGGCAATCTTCATAAGGTTCGATTCTGAATTCTCGAACTGATTTCGTGACTCACTCTATGTATGTTCGATTGTGTTCCTATTATTTTGGGATCGGCGAAGAGACCAGATATTACCGTAATCTAAAAGAGACCGCTTCAACAATAATAAAATCATATCAAAGCCTAGCCCTGCTATATGGAAGCTGACTTTACCGAGCTTGGAGTGACAGACTCACATTTAAAAATCTTTGCGGAAATGAAGGCCGTACCGCTCAAAACCAACTGGCACCCCACACCTGGTGAAATTATAAGGGAGGTCTTTGAACATTTTGACACAATCTGCAAGCAAAAATTTTGCACAGCTTATTTTCAGACCTCATGTGCAGAAGAAGCAAACGCACGTTTGTTTTCTAGTCTTCAGAACATTTCTGAAAGCCACAAATCTAGGTGGCGATTACTTTGTGATCTGGCCATCTCACATTTGAGGACCACATGTATGCTGCATAGCTCACCTACTATCGTCCATAACATTAGGCCTGACCTGAAGCCAACCTAGTATTTTGTTAGTTTCGGGGATTATACAGCCGCCATCACTCACATATGGTCCCTAGACAGGTCAGCAATGGTTGACGTCCACCTGATAGTCACCAATGACTGACTAGACCTTGCAACAAGTAACTAACAGTACTTTGTCACTGATATTCTTATAGTTAAACATTGGTTTCCGAGCAGACGTTACGTGATCTACTCATAGAGGAGAGAGTAATATTATGGTCTATTCGTAGGGATGTGAATCGATTATTCGAAACCGCTGATCGATTTTGGGTTGAATAACTGAATGGTGATGTATTCACTTAATGATGTACACTTACACAACTCCAAATACAACCGTCCCACATCCAACCATTATGTTCTAGATTTCGACATCGTCAGAGCACACACATCCAAACTAATCTCAACAGTTACTTTTTACTGCGAATGCCTAAGTTTGGAAACTACATCTCTACGAATATTCGATTCTCGGCACACCGGCTAGTCGAACATTTCTCTCGAATTCCGGTTTTACAGTTTTGGGTTTTTTGAAAATAATGATGTTATAGTCAGATACGTAGTTGAGCTAACATAATATGCTAATTTTCAGATAATTAACAAAAGCATTGTACGTACTGAAATCGTCTTTAGAAAACTTCAGAATATGAATTGTCGTGTGTTACGAGAACACAGGATTATTGGGGAGTCGAGATATCATGGATGATGCCTTAATGGTAACTTACTTTACAAACTATAAAATAGTTTCGCATTGTTGATAAAACCAGAATAAATCACACTCATTACAGTATCCTCACATAACATTAATTAACGAATTGATTTTCGAATGTTTCCTTTCGCATTCCACATATACACCTGCAGCATTAGAAAATTTGGTGTTATTTAAACCAACATACGAAACCTATTATGTAAATAGCTGTAGAAATATTGTTGACCTAGCATGTTTCAGAGCGAGTTAAGTACGAAGAACAGTGAGATGCATGATTATCCTAGTCTGATAATACAAAAAACTACATGGTAAAATAATAATATTACGAGCTCAGTGATTAATCACAAACTGCACGCTAATTCACAGGTACGACCGTGTAATGAATGAAGTCACTGACTACCGAACTGAGCCATGTTAGGTGTAGACTACCTGATTGGAGTCGGTGTGATAATGGTAACCGGTGGTTAGAGACTTTGAATGACATGGCTCAAAATCGCTTGTTATGAAGCAGGTGCATCCATTCCGTGTTCTTTCAAATTTCAACCTTCTGAATTCCTGATGACTTATTTGTTATCCTTTTAAATTTGTTTTACTGGCTTATATTTCTCGAATCCCAATCTTCTCCATTACTGCTAATACTTTTACTATGTTCATCACTATGGGATTCGGATTGACACTTATATCTGTATGCCAAGGTGGTATGGCAACTGGAACTGATATACGTACGCACCAAGTTCTACTTTGTAACTGACTTACAGACTGGTAAGATCGTACTATAGAGATTTAGACTTATTTCATAATATTCTTTGTAGTAATAACGTCAGAATCGACAATGTATTATTCCGCAAGGTGCCCAGGTGTGTATCGTTGAGGACTCTTCAAACAGGGATATAAAAAATTCACATAGAGCAATTTAGTTTTAACCGCTCTTCAGCTTGGTGAAGTTTAAGGTCAAAATTTTTTGTACCATACTTTTTTCATTAAGAAATATAACTTAGCATTAGTGGGGGAATCAATAAATTCAAGTGCTGTGAGAAATTATACTACTTATTAATCGGTAACATTCAGCTATTAAATTGTTCAATTCATATGTGGAAACAAAAAATGTATGGTTTATTCAACTGTGTTCTTATTCACTGGCTATATACTCTTCAACATGTCGACTGACAAACAAATAAAATGCGAATGGCTGTACAAGTCAGTAGCGTAAAATCTTTTACTTGCCTTTACTAAGTAAACAGAATAAAGAGGTATTTAAAAATATTTATGTTTCACTGAAAAAAGTTAACTACTTTTATAAAATAAATTACTTTTAGAAAACACTATGTACATTTATTGAAATGCAGAAATATATATATATATTTTTTATAAACTGTAATAATATTATGAATTTGAAAGAACTACTGAATCATTATCAAAACCTGATACTGGCCATGTATAATCATTCGTTGAGGTATCAAAATTGAAATTCACTGTAAAATAACAACATTAAAAATGAGTTGTTAACTAATCGAGATACAACTATTTATTGAAAATTAATGATACATTGGTCTTTCGAAACATTATCATTGAAATCTCAATATTGATACTTGGAATTTATTTTAGAATTTTAAGAATGGTCAGAAAGTTAGTCAGTCAGATCCTTCAGGAAGAAATACTCTTACACAGTGTACGCAACCGATAAGTGACAACTGCCCAACAGTATCCGAGATTATCTTATACACAATTGAATTACTTCGTTATTATTATTTCTCCTTTTTTTCATGACAAATAGTTTTCTTATGCCCTCATCACCACACACCACCAGCGCCAACAAACAGAGTTCACAAAATGTTAATCTTTCTCTCCGGAAACCGTGTCCTGAACCACACTGGATTTTCCAATGTTTGAACCTTACGTCAGATAGGATAACACGTATCTTTTAGCAAGGAATCTTGAATCACACACTATCGATGTATGTTGTATCTTAGAAGTGTGCATGCAGGATTTAAGTAAGTTGAACCATTTGCTTACACTTAGTCAATACGAAAAAGCCGAAAGATGGTGGAGAAAATTTGTTGCTCAGTTGGATGAAAGTGGAGTTTCGTTCTCTGATCTGAACCTTTTAGCCGTGGAGCTTTCACTGTTCTTCTGAACAACATCATCAGCACAAACTTCAGGTAAAGGTGAAGTATTCAAATTCCTCCACCTATGACTTATAGCTCGTTCTGTTGACCTCAATCTTGATATGTGGAGAAATGTGAATACTTTACATCTATCTGGAATTTATGCTAACGATGTTCAGAAAAACCATGAAAGCTCCGGGTCAGAAAACGAAACTCCATCCATCCTGTCAATATCTGAGGGATTGACTGCTACAGACCGTTACCTCACTAGTGTAGGTTTAGTGCTAAGTTTAAAAGTAGGACGGGGTCTCCCGGACTGGATTCTAAGAGACATTCGCTTGTGCACTGTGAGATTAAACAAGAAGGTAGATATTCAGAATGATAGGGATGGATGTATGCTGATGCCTCCATCTACGCTCTTTATTCGGCTTCAGAAAGCTGAACCCTTAAATGTAGTAATAATAACCAATTTTTTAGTCCATATCAAACCAAGACGCACTTACATCTTATAATGAAGACCAACTGTTTCAACTACGTTCAGATAAGGATTTCGTACTTGCAAGCATCAACTTTCAGCTAAGGAAATACATCGTTTGACATGGAGACACACACAATAAATTCAATGATTGATGCAAATAGACCACGTTAGCAAAAGTCATTGTTGGAGATAGTAGGAGATCGCCACTCATTTCAGAGAACATATCTAGAGTTTGATCATGCTCAGGCGCAAACACGCATTTGTTTGCGGATTACAGGACACACAAGTTACAACGAGAAAATCGCTTAGGATTCAACTTAGAAATGAAAGGGTCGAGAGTATCCTTCAGAAACTACGAGAAAAGTAGTTAATCAACTATCAAAGAGATGTTTACTCAACGATAAAAATCAGTGGTTGAGATAAAATCGACATGTAGTTAGTTAGGAATTTAGTCACAAAGATAAGCCAATAACCAGGAAATCGCTGATCTAAATACTATAACACAATGAGTTCGTTTTCCTTTAAATTTCATATATTACACCCATATGCATATGATTTGGATTGCAACCAAAAGTACCTAATATGGGTTAATAATTACTTGTTTACATTAGTCTAAAAAGTTGATAAAAATAAAAAAAAAGGCTTCTAGACATTGTTTTGACTTACTATCTGAATGTTTAGTTTTCGGTTGTACATAAAACTGTTCACGATTAAATACTTTAATCTCTCCACATTCCAATTGGACCTATTTTTAAGTGGAAATAAATATAAAATAAATTGGAACTTTATAAAAAGCAATGAGAATTATTAGAATAAATGAAAAATAAATGAGATCCTTTTTCAATATGTTGAACAACAACAAAAAATTTTAGATGGGTTTGCTTGACTGTCAATCTTCATATCATTACGGAAAGTAATAGTTACTTCAGAGAGACGAAACAGAAAAAAAATCAATATAAACTCAACAGAGTAGACATAAGCGATAAATCCATTAGACTTGTTAGCTGCAGAGTATGTTATTATACGTGTATTATTATAAATCAAATATAATCTCATGGTATAGACTAGAATTTTATGATTTCATGAGTTTTGGATTGTTATAATAAGTTTATGCAATCCAGAAAGATAGACCAAATGCACAAAATGATACAAAATGACTAAGACTAAACATGGGCCTATAAACTGCACTAATATCAGAAGACAAGACAGCAGTAGAATAATTGCTTTATTCTAACAAAATAACAAGCTTATGTACAAAATAATGCACGTAAGATCATGCATTATTATTAATCATTTAATAAGTTAATGATTGCAGGTTTAGGTACTATAGATTATTCACTCATCAGTGTAATTAACATCTGACTATCAAGAGTATTCCTTGCATAGTTACATTACATCATAGATACATGCAATGAACATATTGATTTTATTCGAATCCATAAATTCACTGAGCATTGGATAGTTCTGAAAGTTCTATTCATTACAACCAAGTCAACTAGTGATATTCACACAGATGTAAAACTGTTAAATATTGATAAGAGAGATCACAAAATCCGGTTGATCTATGGTAGTTTTTATCACAAACAGTTGAGAATCTTCTAATGCGAACGCAACGAATAGAAACTCACACAGATTGAGCAAGTGACACGTAATAATACTTCCAAGTCAATACATTCCACACAAATATAAGAGAAGGTAGAACTTACAGGAAAGCTCTACATTTCGAACCATTTATGTGCTAACATCCAACGATCTTGGAGCATATAACTTTACTAAACTAACAACAATAACAACCAATCAAATAACAAGAAAGGCTGTAGTGGCCACTGTCTCACTAGTTTCGTGACGTTCGGCATCCGATGCGTTCTTAGACTTAGTATGCTGTTCATCCAGACAACCGTTACCGAATAGCATCTCATAGTTTACAAATCAGGAGACGAATACGAAGTGTTGAGTACGTTTATTCGGCACACTACAATTAGGCCACCAAACCACAGACACACAAAGATAAAATCAATAAGCGAGTGACAAAAGGAAACAAAGCTAGCGAGTGAGCGAATCGGCGAATGAATTAATAAGATTAGAATGTACATATATATATATACATAGGAAAATGGATGAGTCATCGAAATATTTATCAGGTTAACATTGAAGTGAGTAAGATGAATATGCGCGTAAGCGGTAAGTAATGTTCAGTCGTGCCAGCTTATGCAAACCAGACAATAAATAATAAAAGCCAGTGGTATATATAAGTAATTGCTACACAAATGGCTTGGTTAAATAAGTTAATCAAAAGGCTCGACCAAATTAAATGTGAACGAACTCAAATTTATGTAGAGGTACTGAAAGATGACGCTATTCTTCACAGAAAGAACTAACATGTGATAGTGAAAAACCAGACAACCTGTAATCATCTTAACAGATATATGGAAGACTACATCGTTACATCAGTACATGCTAAATTTATTCTTTTATTCAACAAAACGTGGAGAGCACAGAATTATTTGCATAAAGAAAAAGTGGATATTTTGTAACTTCGATACATAACCAGTGTTCACTAAATAGTTATACTTACTTCCCACTGTTCAGAAGTGGTACCTTCATATGTTCCCGTATATTCTATTCCATCATCCCATAAAACTTTAACAAGTGATCCTTTTTCTGGAGGTCCATCTTTGAACCAATCAACATTCTAAAAATGAAGATAAGACTAGACTCATTCATGCCTTTTAAAACTCAATTTCATTCAACCATAATAACTAATAAATATGAGATAATTAAGAATACACGTTAGTATTCTTAATAATTTGTGAACTATTCTAACAATAGCAATATACAAACATAGAAAACTAAAAGTTAAACGTTCTTACTGTCAAATATTCTGGCGGTGTATCTGATGAGAAAGTTCCATCAGGAAACGAAATACGGCAATATAAAGGAGTTACTCGTCGGATAGCGATAGCAGATGAAAATATAGGATCACCGGTTTCTTGTACCATTACTTCATCTCCTGGGGAAACGGAACCATGATCGTGAAAATTTGGCTTTTTGTATTTGGAAAAGAAAAGAATGATATATAAAGTGAATATTTCTAGGTTAGTATAAAGAATCTATAATCATCAACTTGAAAGTTTAACAGAAACTAAGAATGACTAGAAAATCAATAAAAATAGTGGAATACTGTAGGTTTTTTTATCTGTGACTGTTCAGTAGTGTGAATTTTTAATACCGCACGATCAAATACAAAAGATACTTTTGTTCTATGATTAGCATGATACGCTTCAGTTATTGGTTCGGATCCACGGTATCTATTATCAGTAGATTCGACAAAATCTTGACAAAACCAAGCACTCATAAACACCGGCATAACCATTTTTACAACATGCTTGAAAAGTGTCTGAAAATTTCTCATTTGATTTCAGTAACTTAGAGCCGGTGACTTTCCATTAATATATCATAAAGAATAAACCGCGATCCAAAAGATGGCTTGAATTATTAAAACAGGCATTATATATACTTCATAAATTACAAAATAAAGGCTACCATTGTTAAATTTGGCTGATGTTATGTAGAAACTTCGGCCATTTGTTTTGATAGACCGGTGAAGCTCACTTATAAAGACTGTAAATTTTGTAAAAATGCCAGAAAACTTATAGACAGCTGGTAGTTTTTCAGTTGACTACTCATGCTTATACACTTTAGTCGATGCAGAATTTCGGGTTTTCTCCATTTCTTATTTTATGTTGAAGTTTGACAACTGGCTGATATATACATTAAATTTGGTGAATTATAAAGTAACTAATGACCGAATGTCTGTTAACTATCACCCATCATAAACAAACAAATCTTACAGGCAAATGATCAGAAGAACATACTGCTGCATTTTAGTAGAAAAGGAGCTCTTCTACACAAGCTGAAGTTTTTCACCCTTCAATCCGCTTGTATTAATGCAAGTTCCCACATCACAGCAGCAAATAGTTCAAAAAATGCTTCAGGTATTATATGAAACGTAAACAATACATTATATATGGTGAAGTATAGATAATTTTGTCAAAAGTTATTTACTATACACCAACTAAATAAATATCAAAAATAATGAGTATTTTTATAAGTGCATATGTGCACATATAGACACCCTTACATGATCGTAATTAGTAGGATGTTTACTGCATGCGATATAAAAGAATCGAGGATACACATCAGTCCCAATAACAACGCCAGCCATTTGAGCACAAGTAACATGAAACTTTGTAGAACAATCGTCATACCAGCAAGAAGCTAATGGAAGAAATCCTCTTCCAGGTAAATGACACACAAAACATGTTGTCATTTCTTCACCAGCTGCAACTGGTATATCAACATTGTCAGAATGAGGAACACTAGAAATTTCATTGTCATTATTCTTTATGAACGGTTTTACTTTTTCAAAACTAGCACCAACTGAAACTGCGGAAGTAGTGTCGAATAACTTTAATGAAAAGCGATTGCTGTGAAATAAAATGAAATAAAAAAGGAAGTTAAATATGTTATAATGTGAGGCGTCCAATGTGTGAATATAATACGCGCTAACACACTAAACCGACTACTTGAGTGAGAATCCAAAAGTGGAAAAATAAGTCTATTCGGTTGACAAATAATATCCATAAATACTATTATATATATATATATATATATATATATATATATATATATATATATCATTCCCTTAGAAAATCAACCAATTCCTTGCCCAATCATATGTATTTCAGATATTTTTGATTGATACTAAGTGATTTTCTCGTATGGTTGCTTCTAGTTGGCCCTCTTTATCAGAATGTATATGTTGGAAAAAGTCTTGAGAGTGAAACTATGGTTTATGGACAATTCTTGTGTGACACAGAAGTAACCTTGAGAAAACACACCTACTTACTAGGGTCTAAAGAGAATTACAAATTAATGTGAGGAATTAGAATTGGGATTTAGAGTTAGAAATTAAGGTTTTGATTACGAACTAAAATCAGATGTAATGTCGGAATGCTCTCTAGCCATATGCATTAATGATTTTCCTGCCAGAATCCAAGACTTCTTATGTTAGATATGATTGACTCAAGTATTAATTATAGTCTCGCCCAAAACCATTTGCAGATGAACCGTATGGCGTAGAACCCGATAACATTAGAAACCAACTATCTTTCCGAAGACAAGCAAGGAGCATGGTGATGTCTGAGAGTCTTCGGATGGTTGGTGCTCAGTAAAATTGGTAACAGTAACAATGATGAGGGTTCACAGACTGTTTATTTTGGAACAGACGGAATGTAGCTAGCAGTGAGATGTAAGAGGTGCATCTCGTCCTGACTGGGACTCGACAGATGGGCGTATCAACATCCCAGAGTTCATGTCCGCTCCGCAATTCGAATTCAGTACATTTAGCTTCAAACCCCAACGAGCTACCTACTTAGCTACTGAGTCTAGATAGCCACTCACCTATTCAACGGGTCCCAAACGAGACGGAGCAGGCGTCACGGATTCCACTGCTAGCCATATTCCATCTATTCTACATAAGTCTGTATTATAATGGCAGTAATGAAGCAATCCAGACAGGATGAAAATAAGTCAACTAAGACTGATCGAATTGCGGTCATAAAACTAACAACGGGATAATCCAAACCATTACAAATAAAATTATTTATGTCAGGAAATTATTTACTACCAAAACAGCGGTAATTATTTCATAAAATTAGACTAACTTCAACTTGTTTGATTGACCATATGGTTCATAATATTCTCGTAAAATGCTTCTATCTATATTAGATGGTCTCTTACGTAAAACCTTCAAATTTCTATGTACACAATTCGGAGATTTGAACAACGGGATATTCTCAGAGAAGCGATTTGGCGAAACGATCCTCTGCATTTTATTTATTATACTTTTATGATTACCGTCCGAATATGATACGGCCAAAGATATAGCCGATTTGATTGTATCTTCAGAAACAAATGCTAATCGTTTAGGTACATCTTTGAAATAACAACCAGGAGTTATTAGTGCGCATACTATATGTGCCCAGTAAGGTCGTCCAGTAAATGCATTATTGATGTTGGCTAGTGCTTTAATAGCTCCTCCACGCATATAACAAAATACGCATGTCTGTAAAATAATAGGATACTAATAATAAAGAACAGGTTCAAAGTTATACGTCTATATATATATATATATATATATATATATATATATATATATATATATGAGAATCGATTAATATTCATTGTCATACTTATCTGATCCTTTAATGCCGATTGAATTGCTATGTAACTAATAACCTAACTGATTCAAAATCGCGCAGGCTATGTTTAGATGTTAGAAGGTTGAAAGTGGCCGGGAGGAAACCCTATGTACACACATGTTATTCTGTTGAGAACCAATAAAATGTCACCAAATGTAAATTTGCTTGGTTTAGACGGAGAAAACTCATCACCAGTTAAATGAACAGTGAATAATATCGATTTTTATTACAGGGAGAAATATGAAAATCTTTCTTTAACAATTTTAAAAATAAACAATTATTCAGCAAAAAACCATAACAGCATGAAGTTTCATAAAGCTACATGCTGATTGATTTCCTATTACAATTGTATTTATTAAAAACAGCAAGTGTTTTTTCCCAGGCAGAATACCTTCATCAGTGGTGAGCATTTACGACTCCATCAGTAATCAAACCTAGGAACCCCGGTCTCGTGCTCGAAGGAGTTATTCGGTTCTTACATCTTTAAATTCACTTAAATAGCTTTCGATGAGTTTTCAATAAACCGTGAAATATTATAAAAATTGACATGAACCATACAAAAGTTGTTTAAGATATCGGACTTTGGTAGACTGAACAAACCAAACACAAGTATACAGAAAATTATTTTCAAAAGATCGGAAAATCGGATAGTATTTAATTAAAAATATCGCGTATGTAAACTTCGTAATTAAGATGCAAAATAAATATAATATAATTTGTGTGAGATTTCATTACTTGTGTTCTCTAAGCTGGATGTTTCGGTTGTTGAGCTTTCAATGTTCTTCTGAACAACATTATCAGCACAAACTTCAGATAGAAGTGAAAAATTCGAAATTCACCACGTCTGACCCGTAGCTTGTTCCGTTAACCTTTATCTTGATTGGTTGTTATTGAAGTTAAATCTATCACTGTCTGCACCTTTGTTTTGCCGGCATCCCCCTTTAATCTGTTTCTTCATCTTATGGTTGCTTATGATTACCCAACTCGTTACCTTTGATGATGATGTTGATCCGATCGGCTCAACAACGTATTTGATGACATAAAATTCACAATGGAAAATGAATCAAACGACAAATTATCATTCCTGGATGTACTAATCACCAGAACTGACATAGGAAAACTGGAGACTCAAGTATTTAGGAAGCCAACCCACACAGAACTAATTCTCAACTACAGTACGAACAACCCAAGAACTCACGAAATCAACTGCATACAAACCTTGTTTATGAGAGCGAAAACACTGCAGACCACATGAAGCAAAAAAGAAGGAGAAAAATATCTGGTGACTATCTTCCAATAAAACGGCTATCCACACAACTTCATCAAAAAGTATCAACTGAAGCAATCAAGTACAGGAACCAACAAACGGATCATCCTACCATATATAAAAGGTATCGGAAATCATAGCACAACTGCTGAAACCATTTGGAATAGATGTGACACACAAACTAACAGAATCACTTGAACCAATCATATGTAAACCGAAGGGCAAAATGACAAAAGTAGAAAAACCAAATATCATCAGTAAAATAAACTGCTCAGACTGTGAAATACACTACACAAGACAGAGTGGACATTCACTACAGCTTCGGTTGCATGAACATCAATTAGCAGTCACTTAGACTAAGTGAAAATGAAAGACACCTGGGTGGATCTTATGGTGTCAAAGATCAGATACTGGCGACCGTCTGCTGCAAATATGCTCAGATAATCGCCTGTTTCTAAGAAATACAAACCTTAAGCATAAGGAAAAACAAGTTTTGACCTGGCGACCCAAAAACCGACCTAACAATGGACCCAACTAGATCACATTGCTATCAACCATCGGTGGAGAGGTTCGACTGAAGATTACCACTCATTCTGAAGCACTTGTTTAGTTTCAGACCATGCTCTAGTGAGGCTTACTTAGAGTTGTACTTAATGATAGTATGGCTAAGAATATATTTCAGGAACTACTAGAAAAACAGTTAGGCAGCAATGTAAATGATACCCACACCGAGGCAGCTTGGAATGATATCCAACGAGCTATGGAAACAGCATTGATATCTGCTAGTAAGGTAAACCATGAGGTTAGGTAGAAACAGTGGATTTCAGTAGCATCTACCGAACTGAGAGGTGCTCGGAAACTCATCTCGTCTGGCTCTGAATATGATGAGGAGCGGAGTCGGCTTTGGCGCAGGCTGACAAGAAGTTTACGCAATGATTATGAACAGTGGTGGGTAGCGAAAGCAAGAGATGGAAAAGTCAGAGGCGATAGGTAACATTAGACAACTTTTCAGGCTGATCAAGAAATCTCGCATTAGGAATCCGACTGTAAGTGAGACTATCTCGGTATGACAACCTAAAATTATGTACTCATGTACGAAGTTCTACGTTGTAACTGACTGACTGGCTGACTATCTCTGGAAACGAAGGGGCTTATTATTCATTTTCAATCCAGGAGATTGGATCGATGAGCAGAACACTGTAAGGATCAGTTCAGATGACCTTCAGCCACACTTCGATTGCCCACGATCTCCAGCCAACCTGAATGGAGAACTCATGTAAGTCCTCCGACTCTTGACGAAGTTGAGAAAGCTATAAGAAATGTAAGGCAAGGGTAAGCTGTGGGCCGTGACACGTTTACTCCTGAAATTTTTCATCATCATCATCACCATCAACAACAACAACAGTAACGTGGAACTTTGCACGTAAGTACAGTAGTTCAAGTTGCCACACCACATAAGCACAGAGATATAACTGTCAATTCAAATCCCATAGTAACAGACGTAGTAAAAGTATTAGAAGTAATCGGGTTCGAAGATTTTATTCAAGAAGTATAATTCAGTGAGGTGATTTTAGAAAGAGAACGATAGAGGTGATGAGTAGTTCTGAAGGTTAGAATTTCATAGAACACAAAGAGTAAATGCACCGGCGCCACTGCAAACGGTTTTCAGCCATGTCATTCAGGGTCTCTAACCATCGATTATTATCATCTCGCGGACCCCAACCAGGCAGTCGACAACTACCAACACGACTGAGTCCACTCGTCATTGACTTCATGGATTTCTGCCACGTCTTGGTTTGGCCGCCCCTAACTTTCTTCCAACCTATTCCTACACTACAAAACAAAGTTCTTCGAGGCAGTCGGTGGTTAGGCATACGCAGCACATGTCCTAACCACCTCAACTGATGAAGTTTCACCACTTCATCGATTGATCTGCCATTCTTATCTAGCACGCGTCTCCTAATAACAGCGTTGCTTACTCGGGTGTCCCAGGATATACGAACAATACTTCGAAGACACCTATGATTGAAAACCAGTAACCGACGAATATCTTCTACTCTCACTGGCCATGTTTCACGGCCATAAAGTAAGACGGAGCGAACTACTGCACAGTACACTCATCCTTTGGTTAGCAAGCAGACATCTCGCCTGCGCCATAAGTGACGCAGGCTGGCAAAAGCCAATCGAGCCTTCTGTATCCGTGTTGAGATTTCGTCAGTCATCAGGCCATCAGCACTGATGAGACTCCCCAGATAAGTGAAGCGGTCTACACGTTCGACTACTTCACTCCCTATCACTAGTTCAGGTGCCGATGCAACACAGTCTTGAAGCAACATTTTGCATTTCGACGGGAAAAAACGCATCCCGAACAAGCTGGGATTGTTGCTTAGGTTAGTCAGAAGACTGCATTTTGTCAGCGTCTTCACCAAATAGAACTATGTCATCGTCATATTCTAAGTCAGCAAGCGATTTTTCTGGTAGCAGGTCAACTCCTGAAAATTCAGACGAAGATAATGTTATATCTAGGAGCATGTCTATGACAAAATAAAACAAGAATGGGGAAAGTGGACAGCCCTGACGGACACCACTTGAAGTAAACAATTCTGATGATAGTTCGCCATAAGCTCTAACCCGAACAGTTGTGTTCGAGTAGAGAGCTTGTATAGGGTTAATATACTTCTTTGGTACACCTTTCAAAGACAGACACTGCCACAGAACCTCACGATCCACAGAGTCAAATGCCGCTTTTAGGTCCAGGAACAGAACGATTGTCGGACGTCTAAATGTGTGTCTGTGTTCCAGGACCTGTCGTAGTGTGTAGCTATGGTCTATACAGCCACGTCCAGGTCTGAAACTAGACTGGTTTTCTCGAGTCTGCTTTTCACAAGCTCTAGTTAGGCGTCTAAGGATTTTCGGGGCTAACAATTTAGAAACTATATTAGTTAGAATTATTCACCTGTGATTGTCACAAGAAGACTTTTGTCCTTTGGGACAATCAGGGATTGAAACTAGTCAGATGGGATTGTGTCCAGTTCTCAGATTCTATCTAAGATTTCAGTCGATTCAGATTTCCCATAGCTTTCTCAACTTCTTAAAGACTAGGAGGACTTATGTGAGTTTCCCATTCAGGATAACTGGAATGGCTGAAGGCCAGTTTAATCGATCCAATTTACTGGATTGAGAATGAATATTAGTCCCATCCTTTTCAGAAAAATTCTCACTCACAATCGGGTTCCTAATACCGGTTTCTCTGATAGGTCTGAATAGTTGCCTACTATTGCCTACCACCGTTGCCTTTTCCATCTCCCTTGCTTTCGCTACCCAACACTGTTCGCGATCATTGCGAAGGCTTCTTGTCACCATGCGCCTGATCTGACTCCGCCCCTCATCGGACTCAGAGCCAGGAGGGATGCGCTTTTGAGCATCCATCAGTTCCGTAGATGCTACGGCTTCATTCTAGCCTTATGGTCAACCTTACTAGTAGATATCACTGCTGTTTCCACAGTCTTTTTCATATCATTCCAACCTGCCTCCGGATGGGAATCACTTGCAAGGTCGCCTAACTTTTTCTAGTTGTTCTTGAAATATTTTCTTAGCTTGATTATCATTAAGCCCTAAGAGGTTTTCTTGCGATATTTTTCTAGCGTCTAGTAAGGCACAAACAAATACGCGCTCGTACTAGAGCATGATCTGAATCCAAACATGTGCCCCAGAACGAGCGACAGTCCTCCAGCGAACCCCTCCATTGGTGGCTGATGGCGATGTGATCTAGTTGCGTCCAACGTTGAGACGACCTTGGGGGTCGCCAGGTCAAAAGGTGCTTTTCCTTATGCTTAAAATTTGTGTTTGCTAGAAATAGGCGGTTATCTGAGTACAGTTGCAACAAACGGTCGCCACTGTCTGTTCTTTGAGAAGCGATACCATAACATCCACCAAGGTGTCTTTCATTTTCACTTACTCTAGCTACCTGAGCATTGAAGTCACCAGCCATTATTACTACATCAGAGTGCCTAGCTTTTTGGATGAGGTCCGAAGGCTTTCTATAAAACTCATCTTTTACATCGTCTGAACTACAGTCAGTAGGAGCATAGGCAGATACGACGAAGAGGCAACGGCGAGTGTTCCTATCCTTCCGAGTCCGTACCGTCCCGTTTAGTCGGACAGCGCGTAAGCGACTGTCTATCGGGATCCAGTCTAAGAGAGCTTGTTCCGCCCTAGGACTTAATACTATACCTACACCGGCGAGGCTATGAGAAGTGGCATCAGGGCGTAAATCTTGTTGTGTCTCTATCTTCACTAGGTGGGATCAAATTGATGATTTTACTCACATCTTGTATGCGCGTTTCGGAGACGCTGCATACATCGATCGCCCGGGATTACAGAGTTCTAGCAAATGGAGCTTGTTGCCCAATTTGGCATATGGTTCAAACATTAAAAGCTCCTATATGTAATTTAGTACGGGGTCTCACGACATCAGGAATAATGTTTCGAGAGCTCGGACCGTTTGCTTCATTGGCGTGATGTGATCAAACGAGGAGTTGGTCGAAAAGATAAGAGAGTTGTTAAGAGGTGTAGAAAGGATTTGATTGTGGCCAATTCGGTCTCGTGTGCTTTTATGGGTATGAGGGCGGATGTAACTTCCCGGTTGCTCACACCGTGGGAGTTTTTCTTGGGGAACCTGAAAAAGAAAGTAGATTGGCGTTGGTCTTAACGACCTGGGAAAGGATTGTGGTCCAGTTTTAGCAGTTAGATTGTCTGAGATCTTAGGTAGAATCTGGGAACTGGGCATAATCCCATCAGCCTGGTCTCAATCACTGATTGTCCCGGTATATAAGAAAGGACAAAAGTCCTCTTGTGACAATCAAAAAGGAACCAGTTTGACTAATATAGTGTCTAAATAGTTAGCTTCGATAATACTTCGACGCCTAACTAGGGCACGTGAACAATAGACTGAAGAAAGCCAGGCTAATTTCAGACACGAAAGTGGCTGTATAGACCACATATTTACACTGCGACAGGTCCTAGAACACAGACACACATTTCGGCGTCCGAAGTGAAGTATTTGAATTCTATCTGATGTCTGTGCTGATTATGTTGTTTAGTAGAACAATGAAACTACACCACAATCATCCACCTGTGCTACAAACATTCTCCACTATTTTATCATTTATCATTATTGCATGCAACTAATAATTCACAAGAATAATCTTCGTTGATTATTTGAATTATCCAACTAACATTTTCGCTGTGATGAAACTTTAAAACGGACGTAGCAATGATTAAATGAACATTCACTTATTCCACTTCAATCATTTACGATGAAAAAGTCAAAAGTTATGGTGCAGTATATTAGGATAATTTAATTTGCATGACACTTATGCAGTTACTTGTTTAATATTAATACTCAGTCCACTGGTGAATTATACACTTTAATGAGTCATAATGAACTGAATAAAACGATTGCTCATAAAACTATTTCAACTTCCAACTATGCAGTCAGAGATAATAAAATGAGCGGTCTTTAGTTTCATAAAAATGGATTCTTTTCAGGGATGATTCCTGGAGTTTAACTATATTGGGTGTAAAGCAGTTACCCATTAATGACGTTGGAAGGTGAACACTAAAGAAAGACATACAATTGCATACCAGCCCAGTTGTTTAAAGGCGAATAACTTGCTGCGAGACGTTAAGGTCCTGGGTTCTATTTCTGATGAAGTTATGATTGGTTAGAGACCTTGAATGAGATGGCTTAAAATCGTTTGCAATGGCGCAGGTGTATCTACTGTTTCAGTTCGCTGAAATCATAAATTTCTGAATTCTTCATCACCTTTATCTTTCTCTTTTGATGTTTATTTCACTGGATTATACTTCTTTAATAATATCTTCAAACCCAAATCTGTCCGATTACTGCCAATACTTTTACTACCTCTAATATTATGGGATTTGAATTGAAAATCGCGTCTCTGTGCTAATATGGTATGGCAACTTGGACTGATGTACGTACGTACGTAGCTCTACGTTGTAACTGACTGACTGACTCACCTTTTTTCACAGTTCGTAGTATATATTTTATTCATTGTAATAACGATAAAATGATCCCGATGCATAACTTTTAAGACACTAAATATCATTAACTTACAGGCTTTGAACTCGCCACACAAGCATCACAATACCAGGAATTTTTCAAATTCGGAATACAGTTTTGTTTTGACGAAGACTCATATTTAAATCTATTTTCATCTTGAACACCATAACATCTAGCATGTACAGTCAGGCAACAACGAAGACACCTGAGTATACGACTTTTAACTGTTGGAGGAAACTGTACAGAAGAATTATGGGAGCTGTGATATGCAACCTCAGGTATATGCGGTTCGGAATATGCAGGTATTTTTTCGTCTCGATTTCCACTGGATAAGAGCTTAGAAACATGCTAAAATGATAGATAATAAACGTGACGAGTAAATCACATCTTTTAAAACGGAGGATAAAGTAACGAGTTAAATCTGAAATTCGCTTCGACAGCTTTCATACATCTAGAACTACCTAGTAGCATTGTGAACCATAACATGATAGTCGTGGTATGACAACATTTTAAACTACAAATGGACACGAAAAGATGCTGAATAACTGAGGTACATGTTAGTTGAACAAATTATTACCTAAAGGAGTATTCAATAAGTATAGTTCATTAGTAAAATATGAGAGATTATCTTGAATTAACCACATAGACTTAATCTGTCAAGACAAGTGAAAATACTGCTAACTATCAAGCGAAAAAAGTTTAACAAAGCCTCAAGTATTTAATATTGAAAATAGAAAAATTGGACCAAAGTTAGCAAATAATCAGCTATTTAGAATAAAATTATTCTACCTTCTTACTGCTTAGACATATAACGTCAAAAAAGTAAAATGTTTGGCTAAATCTTGAGTAAAATGCTACTTTGGACATTGCATAGAATTAGTTTCTTTCGGAACTATTTTTAATCATTTACTTGTAGGAGTTTGCATTTTCCTGCTTTTGACGTTAGCAACTGAATTTTGATCAGATTATTTTTTTATGTGCTTCCTGAGTAGAGTACAAGAGCAGCACTTCTGACTGTTTAAAACTTCTGAGTATTTTCACACCCAGACCTTTCACTTCAAACGCCTGATGCGCTGAATTACTGAGTCTAAAAAGCTACTTATTCGCGTAAATGGGATGAATATGATTACTTATTTGCAACGGTTTGCACACTCTAAAATAAGAAGAAACACGAGTCCCGGATTTCGCTACAAGCCACTATCGAACTTTACTTCGAAACTTGTGTACTAGTTTCCACAACGTTTGATGTTATTTATCATCCTACGCTTTTCATGTTTTGAAATGTAGCAACTACGCATTAACTTTCGTTATATTAAAAGGTGGCCTTATTTTACCAGCACTTAGGAAACTAACCAAAAGCATAAGTTCCACATGGATCCACAGTTTACAAGGTTAATCGAGAAAAAATTACTACGCTTTGTTCACCTGAGGAGTCCACAAAAATGAGCAAACAGCACAATGGGGTTTATGACTTCCAATGAAAATGTTGAAATTTCGTTCAGTTTGTTCACTAGCTGGATTTCCACACCAGAGTGGGTACAAGTGAGGGTTAGTTGCGATGTGGAAAGGAATTTTAGCCATTTCAAACACTGTAAAATTAAAAGTGAATATTTCAGAACAACAGACAGCGAGAAAACTTATGACGAAAATTTCGACAATGAACAAAACCCGTGGAGAAGAAAGAAGTTATGATAAGTCTAAGTAAAAGGGTCTAATAAGTGCGTGAATGGAACTTAATACGTTTTATTAATTAGATTCAACTACTTCGTCACTAAACTTCGGTTTGTTAAGGTCGGTCTCAAGACCATATCAGGGAGGAGGATTGAACATAGGGTTATAGACCCCATTCCGTAAGTAACTAGGTAAAAAACGCTAACCAGAATAAATGATTTAAACTCTGCCTTGAGAGTCAGGAGGTCTCCGTTTAGGAGAGTTAAACCGCCTCATAGTGAGAGCTGAGTTTCTCCGGAAGTCATGAGGCTGGCGCCCCTTCTGACAACCGCAGAAACAATTAATATAGGTAAAGGGGATGTTCGCAAAATGTGGGAAAACGGGAGAACCATTAAGGTCGCTGCGGTGTTTGGAATGAATGAAACACTTTTGACGCAGGCCGGACAAAAAGGATTAGCTTCAGGAGAGATGATGTCATACTTCGGTCATGAAAAGGAAAATGATTCACACACAGAGTAGTACTGATGATATTCAAAGAAGCCTAAAAGTCACTTATAGAATGGAGATCTCATGAACCCAGAATCATCAAAGCATTGTTTAAGATAAAGAAAGAGGGGCTAAAGTAACGACTATGATTAAGATCTTAGCGGCTGTAAAAACGACGACTTTTAAGATAGCTGGTGGAACGATGGTCGATCGGTAATGAGACGTAATATGATGTATTTGAACAGAGAAATGAGAAGACATATTTTGTGAGATGGTACCATTTCATGCTTTCTCGTCAGTCACATACAAGCAACATGTTATTTGTGAAGATACAGTTTTGAAGATAAGGTCAAAATTTCTTATTTAGCATGACATTTACTCACTAGAACCATGGTAATATGATGTGGCAAAGCGATACATAGATATGAGAGAAATAAGCTCATTCTTGATAAGGTAATATTTTATATGTTACTTTAGAAACTCGTTGAAATTTTTCAGCTTACCAATAACACTGCAACCTTTTTAAATTATTATATGCAATATAATGCATGCTATTTTCCGTCAAGGTCAAAGAATTAATATAATTTGTGTCAGTATATTGCGAAATCTATTAGAAAGCCATCAAGAGCATGAAAAACGAAGCACTCAAGATATCCATCGAAATTTAAATATAACATAAAAAACGAAGCACTCAAGATGTCCATCGAAATTTAAATGTAACTTACTTTTTGAAGAGTACCGCATATCAATAGAGTTGAGATCGCCAGCTTTCGGGGGCGTATAGTTAGCAGAGTAAGGTTTAAAAAGAGGATTTTTGACCGTAAGCTCGGAGTTTTCGATACCCAACAAATCCTTGGAAATGTCTAAAGGCTAGATAATCTTCTGTAAACTAACCTGGATACGTGGGTTTGCTTTCAACAGTGTGTCCTGTTTCTTTCATGAGATATTCATCCAGTGGATGTGGTGACAGGTTCTTTCCATTTTTCCAGTCATCAAATAATTCGGGTTGAAATCTTTTCACAAAAGGATCCATGCATATTTTAACTGTATCATCCCAACAGGTACATATTTTGGCGTGTTTTCCGTATTCTATCCATCTAGCAAGTGCAAAGTTTGTTGATTCAGCAATGTTTAAACCCATATTGAAACCGGAATGATAAGCATAGGGAAAAGTTATCATAAATTCACCCTCGTGTTGTAGAATCTGATAAGATATAAGGTTGAAGGTATAGCTTACTTTTTTGGTTGGGATCCCAGATTGGGAAAGAACTGTAGGACTAATTAAAACACACTTGTGCCTTAAAAAACATTGGCATTTCAAGAATTCTGACCTAAAATATTCTAACAACGGTTAGTACTAAAAGTTATATACCGGAAACAAAAGCTTCAAATTTACGTGCGAAAGCCGGAGGTATGACGTACCAGCACTTTGGAAGGCCGTAATGCAGGTAATTTATAGAATACAAATCTACATCTTCAACATGCCATGGAAACGTAGATCGCCACATCCCATAATACAAATATGGAGTATTCACACCTGGTATTTGCACACCCTCTTCTTTGAAAACCCTACTCAGTACCGAGTCGAGTTTTGCAATGTTCCAAATACGCTGGTCAATATCCATAAGTGTTCCACTAACGTTAGCACCATACAATGGACGACTAGTGCCAATCGACGACCAGTATTTTCTTTCAAGATGGTCGAAGTCTCTGTGCTTTGGGGTGCAGTACACATTTGATAACGCAATATTTTTAAAGTCACTGAACTTAAGACTTTTTCTGGGTGATATATCCTACATATATTGTTCGGGATAACCAAAAGACAGACCTGCAAATAAATGCCACGACCGCCATATGTGCTCTGACATATAGGTTTTTCCACCACACATTCACCAATGTCGTCATATCCATTGCGACGCCCAACCCAGTTTGCCGGTGGTATCACTTTACAAAGTCCTACATGATGAGCACCGAGAGACTCTATCATAGAAATACATTTGCTGAAGTCCTCAAATTCAGCGACTGTAGGTTTGTACACAGGTATTTCTGGGATAGATGCTTGACTAAGAGTCTTAATTCTTACACGACATAGCATCAACACTTACCTCTAATTTATCAATATATGGAGTTTGTGCCAAGCCATTTTCCCGAAGCATGACCTACAGATTGACCTTTGTTTAAATCAAGCACAAGGTGCTTCAGATCGTTGTCCAACATCCAATCTCTCCAATTTCTTTTTCTCAAACTAAAATAAACCAGTCAATTTGTTTGCTCTCTATTCTTGTTCTTTCGACACGATTTCAGGTACTTGGTAGTGTTCAATTAATGATGGTGGATAGAATAAAAGCTTTCGCTAAACTGGCTTACATATCTAGTAACAGTGAATCTTCCATTCTCACAGTTATGGTCCTAGGTGTTTTTATTAGTAAAAATAGAATTATCATTATTTTGTTATGAAATAGAGATCTGAAAAATTGAGTATCATGGCGATTGAGGAATTCATCTGCAGACGTCTCATCCTAAGCAAATCGAGATATCTGACAATTCATGAAAAGTATAAGGTGTTTCCAATTTTGGTACGTAGCCTCTGAGGTTTGCGTGAAAGTGGGCATTAGGGAGCAATTTCGTAGACGCTTAGAATTTTCGGAATTCTATGATTCATTAGACGTTAACCTGTTGGACGTCAACCCATACTCTAACGTCTAAAGATCTAGTGATTTAAGGCACTCCTCGTAGGGTTCGATTCTGAATTCTCAAACAGATTTCGAGACTCCCTTTATTTATTTATTTATTTTAGGATCAGAGAAAAAAGAAAACAACCTTAATCTAAAAGAGACCACTTTAACAGTAATAAAATCATACCAAAGCCTAGCCTTGCTAAATGGAAGTTGACTTTAACAGGACATCCATGAACTTGCAGATGTGACAGACCGACGAAATGATCCTTTTGTAGGTTATACAAATCCGTGTTTCTAGCAAGTGTCCTGAACTGTGCAAACCAATATGGTGATTATTTTGTAATATTAGTAGTGTTACACATCTCAGGACCACCCTTATTCTGCAGGGCTTACTAACTAGCTTCTACATAGTTAAGACTAACCAGAGACCAACCCAATAATTTGGTACATTTGGGGATCATTCAGCCATCAGTCAATCTGTAAGCCCAACAGTCACATATGTTCCACAACATTTCAGTAGCGGTTGACGTTCAACTGGTTGTTACAAATGACTGATCAGAGCTTTCAGATTTATTGATGACCCCCTATGAGGCCACAAATTCGTGCGTATTCATGTTTTTAACTGCCTGATCTGAAATGTCTGAAGAGTCTTACATTCAGCACTACATCTAAAATGGATGCGCTGCTTTTGACATCCAGCCCAAGACCCTTTTTAGAAGTTTTGTAGATGGAAACCTGTCAAAGTACATTATCTTCTATATTTATTGGTTGTTTTGCTTATAAATGTGATTTTATTTCCTTCGATGCTTTCGGTTGGCACTTCAACTCTAAGTGATGTGGTTGTTTTCTATTTTTTTTCGTAGTCTTAGTTTTTGTTACGTTACTAATGAATTTCTATGGCTCTTTTGTGCAACGCGTGTGTTATTTCCTTCGAGTCCTCAGAGGAGTAATCGCACTTCGCAATCAAGGGTTTTGGAACATGTACTTATGTGACTTCTAAATCACTATACCTCAAATTAGCCCATACACATAGGAAATAGAAAGCCGTGTTTAGATATAAAAAACACAAAAGCTCTACATCAGGTAAGCCCTTATAAAATTGAGTAGAAGGATTTAAGGCTATTTTTCGAGTAAAATGAAAGCTTTGGATATTCGCCAATTGAAGTCCGCCCTACATTTACATCGACGAATTGTTATAACTTCGAATTTACCCTGGTAATATTTAATCCATCCTATGGCCCAAGGTAGTGTGACAGTTTCCTATTCTTTCTATACCATGTTAATTTACTCTATACTTTATTAACAATTATAACCTTATGTCTATTTGACCTTTTATTTAAGTTAACTTTTAATTATTTTCACATAAAATGCCTTGAAAAGTATATGCATGACCAGATTGTTCGGACTGAATAGAATAAATACATCACATTTTTCAGACCGACCACGTATTATCACTGCTTTAACAAATCTATCAAACAGAATAATTGTTTTCACCATAAAATACTTCTGCGTTGTCCATGAACTCCGAATTAATCGCAAATATTAGCCTAGTATCTCCAGTTGGAGAAAATGGCTCACAATTCATGTCGTATTTTTTCAAACACTTCTGTATTATGAATGCATCTACGCTCAAAGCACTTACAACTTCAGCCAGATTGGCCGTTAGAACGTTTTGTCGACATCAGTAAATTAACAGTACTACAATAAATAGGTGAGATGAAATCTAGTTGAGTCATGACTCAACTGTAAACAAGAATATTTTCAGTTCCGTCGATCGCCCGTTTCTCCTTTGCAACATGTCCTCCTACACCTAAACTATTACCCTTGACATTGCGGAAGGCGTGGTTGCTCCAACAACAAGCATGTTAAATTATTATCTTCCGAATCTCAACAAGAAGATCATCAGGCATTTACCTCATAGCTTCTTATTATATACAGACATAGATGTAACTTGCTTTGATTCTCTAGCAACAGTGGCTCATTTCAACGCAACCGATATAATTCGTGCCAATTACCGTGTTGTGCAATCCGGAGTCTGAAACACCACTTGAAATATTAGCCCTCTGTAAAACGCCAGTGTATTTGGTGAAATATTTATCTAACTGGACAAACTTTTGCTGAAAATGTATCATCATTTCATTTATTTTGATCTCGCTTATAAATTGGTATACCTCTCTTAAGTTGTTGTTCGAGGATAAATTATAATCAAAAATAATGAATGTTCAGCTTATTTAACAAACTTATAAGTACTGTCGATAGGTTTGTCATTAATCATACTTAATACAGTATTCGATTTCTCAGTGGTGTCGTTCTCTGTACGATTAGTTTATTAACCTCATGGACCAAACAGTTGTCCACATAATTGGGAAGAAAAACAGTAATAAACTACCGAAGAAAAGATATGTTCCTGAGTGTCGGAGTGTCAGAAACAATTCTGAGGTAATTGTCACTCATTTTCACTCTTAAAATGTGAAGAGTTCTAAATGTTTCTATATTTTGAGTTGATATTTAAGCCTCATGTGTTACCCTTACCTAGAACCCTCTCTTAGGAGTAAATGTGATATAACGTCACATATTTTCTTGAAGTCACTCAATACTGTATGATGCAGTATATTTTCTAATGTATGTTGTCTTGCAGACGCATTGCACGGTAAGACTGGATGCACTTGGTTTACATCACTCAAATTCGTGTTTAGGTTAGTCACTGACCAATCAGCTCATAACATTTGACAGTACTGGGGATAATGAAACTGGTGTACAGCAGGTTCGATCCTCCAAATCTTCACCGCTGAAGACTAAATAGACACTAGCCTTCTGCCACTCTTTTAGAAGTTGCTTTGACAATTGTGAGTGATGGAAGAGATCTTACTAGCTGGTGAGCGCCTAATCAATCTGATTGGTTAGTTATGACATAACTACAATTAGTTATAAAATAACTAACAAAGTGTTTATTAACAGTTGTCTACGCAAAATACTTCGGATTCGTTGGCCAGACACGATCAGCAACAACGTACTGTGGGAGAGAACAAATCGGATTCTAGTGGAGGAGGAAATCAGGAAGAAGCAGTGGAAGTGGATAGGACACACATAACGAAAAGCAAGGTAAAAGGGAAAGAGGAAGGCCAAGGAATACATTACGCCAAGAAATAGAGAAAGATATGAGAGGAGTGAACAAAAATTGGACAGAACTGGAAAGGGAAGCCCAGGATAGAGTTGCTTGGAGAAATCTGGTGGGCGGCCTATGCTCCATTGGGGCTAACAGGCGTTAGTAAGCAAGTAAGTAAGCAATACCACGCTCAAAAAGCTTCATTTCATCCTCCTGGTTTCCAGATTTTGCAACCATTAGATTCCGCGACTTAATGCTTACTGATGTAATTATTCACAAATGAGTATTGGAGAAAGATAATTCCCATTTTCACTAGAAATACAATTACGCACAAGAATCACAAAAATATTTATATTCCTCATAATCAAACAAATTTTTTGATACACTCAAAAATATTGGTCTTACTTTGAGGAAAAAATGATCAGGGGCCAAAAGAGGGAAGAAAACCAAAATATGTGCGTAGAATCTATTTTGAATGTTTTGTTTTTCGGAAAATCCCTCCATGTATATATATTTGTGTTATGATATGACTGACTCTATCTGTTGACAGTTTGGTACTCTATTTGATTCCATTTTGAGATTTTATCATTGTATATTGTTACTATTTCTATATCTTGTACTTATATTGAAGTTTTTAGGTTTGCTTCTGAACTGTACATATGTTGTTTAAATTTAATATTTAGTATGGCTACAGTCATATTTGGATTTGATACTTCAACAGTACAGACTGGAAGCACTTATTCTTCCAGAAACGGATACCCACCGCGGTAAATTGTAAATAGAAGGTGTAATATTGTTTGGTAATTGTCTGTATTTCCATTTTTATTGATTAATAGGACCGTTTTCTCCCAGAATTATTGTGTTTTTATTTCGGACCTGGGAGTACGCATATCAAACTGCACCTATTGGAGCCGGAATGAACTGTTAGCGTAGAAAATCCATTTACAATGTGTGAAGATTATTTGACACGTCTTTTTGCGGAAGAGAATAAATATAACGGGAACGCATGTATTACCCAAGAAGTTTAAGGGGAGTCCGTGATGTAGCAGGACTAGATGGTCGGATATGACGTAACTAACGATTTAAAAAATTTTTGTTTAAATTTACTTTTTTAATTATTAGCAATAATTTCACACCCTGTATTTGTTGGTAATTCCCTGCCTCTTTTCGCTTTTTTTCTTCACTATCTTATTATGTACACATTTCTTATCACGTAATGGTTTAATGTTTTGTAATAATTATTTTATATCTATTTATCCACATTGGGCCTTCTATTCATGAAGCTTTTGTTATCTTATTTTATTTTTCTTACTACTGTCTGTACACCTGCCTATTATATGTAGTGACGTAATCTATTTCATTTCATTGTGAC